AAGCTTCCGAGAGTGTGCTGAACTCGTAGTTCTCGAAATAAACATAGAGCAGAACGATGTTGTTGCTCGGCTCCGAAGCGAAAAGCTGGTATGCATTGCACCTGCTGCCTTATTATACTCACGCTGTGATCAGCGGCAGCTGGATGCAATAATTGCATGCCAATGTGCATTGGCTCGTTTAGTTTACACTCGAAGTAGATTGGTCTATCGAAGCGATATCCCAATTCGTCGGTCACGACGTGACTCGTAGTGACCGACTGAAAGGGAACCTGTGGGCGCACCTTTAAAGAAAAATAATAACTTCACTTATTCTGAGCACAACAGCACAACTGTGAGTGTGTTTATCAATAATTATTGGATATTCACTTTGATTTTATTTTTGAATTACATATATATCAAATAAAAAAAATGGCATAGCATTCTGAAATTTACATTTGCATTAAGGTTAAAAAAATTATTATTATGCATGGATGTTTGGAAGGTCTTAGCCATCACTAGCAAAATCATGCTGAAAATAAATTTCAAATAAGACTTGATTGTATCTGTTTGGACAAATTAAGGAACACTTTATTGGTTTTATTGGTTTAGTACAATTTATTATATAATTTTATTATGTCACCATAATTTGCACCATGCCCTTTTTACTATACTTTGACTTAATATTGGACAAATCCTCCAGACCACCATAAACCATGCAAATAAGGTGTTGCGTGAGACAAAGGAACCTCTCCCGCTCAAAATTCACACCTCTACATTGGTCAGTCTGCCTGATTGGTGTGACTGGTAGACCCTTAAAAGTCCCTAACTCAAACCAATCATTGCTCAAACCCTTGAGACACACTCTCCAAGACTCATCATCCTGGAGTCTGACTTTCCGGCAGTTTTTATCTTCAAGTAACTTTGTCGATTCACTGTGGACTCTCCGATCTTCAGAACTCGACGAAAGCTTCCAGCTCACTCAGAACTCATCAAGAACCTCCATTGTCTACCGCATCCGGACGCTTGTTCAGCAACAAAGCCAATGCAACTAACCGTTTCCAACTAGTTAGATGCATGTCTAAGTTTGGGACCCTTTGTCAAGGTGATTTTTGATTCTCATTAGGTTGTGGTTAATTGATGCTAAATACTGCCATTCTTTGTTCTTCTCTCTTTCCTTACTTTCCTTCATTCTGTATATA